AACAGAAAATTGTGGTATTTATATATTGGGAGTATATGCCTTTATGTAGGGAGTAACCACAGTAGACTGTTTTGTGAGTTTCTTGTGTGGTCTTTCAAACAGCATTATGTTCTGACTAATATTTTATCATATCTGTAAACGTACATTGTATTATATTGTCCACACAGTTGCTTAATTGTGAAGTGGAAAGCATGGAGCAAGAGATTATGTGAGTTGATGCCATGAATTTCACATATGACATTCATTTCTCGTCTTCTCTAAAGAGCTTTTGCTGCCCCCTGCTGATTTACCAGTACAATGTCAGGGAAAATGTACAAAATATAGTGGTACAACAGCTTGTCAGTGGGGAAGCAACACTCATTCAGAGATACACCTGCTGTACCTTTAGTGCACCTTAAAGGTTCACCCCAAAATTAAATTAGCTCAAAATGTACTCACTTCCAGACCATCCAAGATGTAGATGAGTTTGTTTCTTGCTCAGAACAGATTTGGAGAAATTAAGCATTACATCACTTGCTCACCAATGGATCCTCTGCAGTGAATGGGTGCCGTCAGAATGAGAGTCCAAACAGCTGATAAAAACCTCACAATAATCCACAAATAATTCACATGACTCCAGTCCATCAATTAATGTTCTGTGAAAAGCTGTGTTTGTAAGAAACCCGGTTAAAAAAACAGCATATGCTGGTTAGGTGTGTTTTGAAGCATGGCAGCTGGTTTAAGCTAGTTTAAGCTGGTCCTTAGTTGGTCATGAGCTAGTTTAAGCTGGTCCTGAGCTGTTTATAAGCTGGTTATGAGCTGGTTTAAGCTGGTCATGTGCTGGTCCTAAACCACTAGCTCCTGCTCAGGACCAGCTCATAACCAGTTTATAACCAGTTTAGGACCAACAAAGGACCAGCTTAAACCAGCTCAAACCAGCTGCCATGATTCAAGACATACCTAACCAGCATATGCTGTTTTTTTATACGTCATCCTCCCGGAGCTGCTTCCGTTTACAACAGTGAGCGCAAGCTAGATTCAAGCGATTATTACGTTTTGAATATGGATATTTTTCGTACAAAAACGCATCGATTCACTACAGGAGGTCTTTGTTCACCCACAGGAGCCGTGTGAGACACTTTTTTTTATGAATGGGCGCTTTTTATTTAACTTGTTTTGGACTGAAGCATGCAACACCTGCTGAGTGCCATGAAACAGCTTGAAAGATCAAAAGACAATTTTTAATACAACTCGGACTGGATTCGTCTGAAAGAAGAAAGTCATATACACCTAGGATGACTTGAGGGTGAGTAATTTATGGGCTAATTTTCATTTTTGGGTGAACTAACCCTTTAATGGAGAAAGCAATATTATGCATAGAGAACTCATATTTACAACCAAGCAAAGACATATATAAAAACATGAAGCTTTTCATTTCACAAGACATTATCTGATGGACTGGAGTTGTGTGAATTACTTGTGGATTATTGTGATGTTTTTATCAGCTGTTTGGACTCTCATTTTGGCGACACCCATTCACTGCAGAGAGGTGAGCAAGCGATATAATGCTAAATTTCTCCAAATCTGTTCTGATGAAGAAACAAACTCATTTACAGCCTGTGAAGTTGCAGTTTTTGCATATTTTCTTTCTCTGACATTATACTGGTACTATATTGAACAATTATTGGCATTACAAATATTGACAGAGAAGGAGCTTTAATAAATTAGTTTTTGTAGATGGACACTTGGTCGCTGCCTATGATGATGCATTTTCATCTTTGAAACTTGGAGGCAAGAACAACATCTCTGCTGCCACTGCCTATTAGCCATTAGCTTGTAATAGGGGTGAGGTGGTTTGTTTACATACGGAGCCAGACCTTTGGTTTCTAGAATAATAGAAATTCTATACCTGCCAGCTTCTTAGATGTATATAATGATGCTTTTATGTCATATAATTCATATTGTCCAAATCAGGAAACACGCAAGTCAGATTACCATTGCTTTTGTTCCACTACAGCACTTTGAGAAGATGACTGTTTGTATGCCGGCAGTTTTACATCTGAAAGAGGGCAATTAGGGAGAGGAACCACATAATAGATCAGCCCTTATATGAACATACAATGAGTCAGTCAAGCATAGTTAAATGCAGCACACTGAGAATGGATCATATATGTCAGAACATTATATTACGATGGACAACTTTGAGCAGCTCTTTTGGAAAAGGGTTCGAATGTAATAATTTTTGAAAGCAATTTTTAAGGTAAGTGTTACAGCTATTGGCATGATCATGACAATAATTTTACGATTTGTTATGCTTTTATGATGTATGTTTCTTGTAAAATGCTAGTTAGGACTACAATTTACTTTGCTAAAATATTATAAATATTCATAAAATAAATAAATGGAGTTGATTAATTTGATGGTATTATATAAATATCACAAGATTATATTGAAATTAAGTAGGCCTACTTTTTATTTAAAGCCTTTATATTTTTATATATACTTATATATTCCTTTCATTATTTCTTTTAATATATGGCCATTTAATAATATATCTTGGACATTTGACCACCATTCTTTAGACCCCAGATGCCCTTTTTAGGATTTCCCTTCATTATTTATTGATTAATGGCTGGCATTGCCAAGCAGGAGGAGGTTCATTACGCTAATCTAACACTTTGTTTGCTTGTGCATGACAAAACTGCACTTGTGTGGTGTAGCTTAATTGTATTAATTTAGATAAATCACTGACACAATAACGAGACAGTTTAACAAACCATGGTTTATTGTTGTTGCTTTTACTATTACAGTGTAAGAAAAGAAAAATTTATTTTCTTCATGACGCTGGAGCCACTTACAAGACAAACAAGATTTAATTGAACATTAATATGAACGCAATTTTAAGATTTGTGAATTGTACAGTAGATAATGGCATATTTTAGAGGCTGTTCTTGCAGTCATTTGACATTTCATGTGGAAAAGATGATGTTTGGCATTTATTTGTTTGGTGTGAGACAATGCATAGATTTAGTCACTTAGATGACTTGCTTCTAACCATTTATAACACCACTGAAATTTAATCTAGTCCTCCCCTGAGCCTCTTGATTGTAACCTTACCCAGCACTTGGCCTAGGCTTGGATTTAAACAGGTTCATTTAGGGTTTGTGGTATGCATTACGTCTCGTCAGGGAGACTAAGCTATGCGTCTTCACCGATATATATTTTTTTTGCTTACCTTTATATTTACCCTTATATATTTTTATATATTTAGTTCCTAATGAAAGTAATGCTGTATATATCCTATTGAAAAATAATCTGACTTTAGGTGTGCTATTTAATATTATAATGAAACAAAACAAACCAACTTGTTATATTGATTCTTTATTTTGCATTTTATTAATTACATTGATAGTCATAACTGTTGTGCATTGGAAATGGATTGGACAAGCAGCTCATAACCTCTTCTTGGACTTGTTTCAATGCATAACCGCTGAATAGCTGATGCACTGTAAGAGGCAAAATTACTCAACTTAAATTACACTGATAACCATCTCTTCTAGCAAGGAAAATGACAACCAAATTAAATCATGAAAAAATATGTTTAGCGCAAATATCACCTACATGTAATATCACATACATATCCAATAATTGCATGGGATAGTGAATATATGAAGTTAACAATGAATGGGGTCACTCTATATTTAGAACTTTTCCGATTAATATTTCATTATTTTTTAGTGAACTGAATACAGTCCAGCCATTAAGAATTAATCCCTACCAGTGTCATGAACTCTGGAATATTAAGTGGTCAACAGAGAAATAATCACGCAGCTTAGTATGTAAATTTGTGATTCTAGTCCATGATAAAAACTGAATTTTCTAAGAGCAGACATATTAAGGTACATATGTATCAGACAGTTGATAGCATCATAATAATGTATGTTGATACTCGTTTGAATTTTCTCCTGCTCATAAAAATATATTTAGAAGTGCTAATTACTCTCCAAAGTCATCCTGCCAATAAAGTGTGACATTAAAAAAACATATATCATGTCTGTCTAGACATGCAAGCTAAATATATATACTTTGTAAATATAATATACTTTTGCTAAATTTTATTTAGTCTAAACAATCAAAAAATTGTTCTGTTATATGGTTGATAATTTTGCTTTAAATCAAAATATCATTCTTCAAGTCACTGCTCAATCAAACAACAGAAAATAAAACTTGTCTGGCACAACAATATAAAATGACATGCTTTTTATTTGTTTAGTATTCTAATAATATTAAACATTTAACCCACCTCAGATGTGATGGAGGAGACATTCCTCTTCGGCCAGTATCATTACCATACTTAGGTTCTATTTGGAAATGTCCTCAGACACAGTTTAGTAAAAGCTCAGCCTACGTGCATTATTTATATAGGAATGAGCCAAACAGATAATGTTACCCTAAGTCCGTGTAGTTGATACATTTAAGGTGCCCTTCGCAACTATCACGGGGAGCCCTCGCATACTTTCAGACACATGCATCTGGAGCTCTTGAAGGACACTACCTGCAAAACTCAAGAGGACAAAAACTGTAACTGGAGTACTTTTCCCAAGGCATGAAAAAGCTTATAGCACATGACAAAAGGGATGCTGACATTCATGGATGCCTGTTTCGTCTGTGGGAAATCTCTTGCCAAAATTAGCACTACAGCCAAGGACACAACTCTGTTGGACATTTCTGAAATGTGAGGAATTCACCTGTAAGGTAGAGTCCTGAACAAAAGAGCTATCAGCATTTTGGCTTTTGTGTTAAGTGGAAATGATTTTTCTTATACTCAAAAGACAAAATTAGACATATAATTAATAACTTTTTTTGTGATGTAAGTGATCTACTTGCACTTTATGCTCACTTACGCTATGCTGAAGCTGTATTACACATGGAACATTTGTATAACAGTTTGAGTTTTCTGTCATTGACCACCCCTTTTTGGCACAGTGACATATATTGCATGATTTTTGGAGAAGGATAAAATGCCACCAAAGAAAGCAGACAAAGCTGCACCTAAGAAAGGTGCAAAGGGGGAAGCAAAAGAAGATACAAAGGCAGCAAAAGATGACAAGAAAGGGGGTAAGGGAGGCAAAGGGAAAGAGGATCCAAAGAAAGGAAAAGGAAAGGGCAAACAAGCTCCTAGTGAATCTGAGGAGGCCTCCGAGGTGGAAAGAAGTGAGGCTGAGGACAGTGAAGCAGTGGATGAAGAGGATGTGCAAAGTGAGGATGATGGTGGTAAAAAGGGAAAAGGAAAAGCTGCTCTGAAGGGAGCGTCCAAAGCTATGGCAGTAAAGGCTGTAGCTAAGCCAAAGCGTGGCCAGGCAGCAGAGGAAGGTGTTGATCCAAAAACTGGTAAGCGTGCCAATATTAAGGCTGCATCAAAAGCTGTGACAGGATTCCAACCTGAAGAGAAGAAGCCACAACTTCAGCTAGGTAAAATGAAGGACATAAACCTGAAAGGGGCCTCTTCAGCTATGATGGGCTTTGCTGTTCAGGGTCAGCAGGATGTTCAAAAGAAAGAGGATGCAAAAGCTAATTTAAAAGGTGCTTCTAAAGTTCTCACAGGTCTGACAGGAAAGTCCCCATTTTTTTCAAAGCCTGCCCCAAAACAGTCTAAAAAGCTAAAAAGCACATCTAGGCTTTTTATGGGACTATCTGGCAGCAAGAAGAAAAAAGGTATGACACCAAAGGCATTACAAAGTACATCAAAGTTGTTTTCAGGTTTCGGAAAGTCCAAAGCTACAGAAGATGACAAAAATAAAAAAGAGGAGGGTGGAAGAACACTCTTATTACTCAGTATTGGTGGAAAGGCGAATAAAAATGCAGCAGCCACCTCTGGACTGGGAGGCAAATTCAAAGGCTTTTTTGGTAAAAAGAAAACTGGAGCTGCACAATTCAAGAGTAAAGGATGGGCTCTGGGGAAGATAGCAGGAGCAGCAAACTGGCTAACTAACAAATTCATCTCATCCAAAGCATCTAGACGACTAGGTCGCTCTGTTCGTTATGACAGGTCAAGTGTGGGGCGATATCACGGCTATCAGAATGGAGGTTATGAATATGATGAGGGTGAGTTCAGCTATGAGGAAGATGACTATGTTCAAAGCAGTTATAGCAGAAATAATCCCCGGGGACGATATAGAAGCAGAAATCATGACAGCTATGGTCAGGGGCACTATAGAGGACCACATCAGTATAACTACTTTGAAGATGACCAGGAGTATTATGATTATCCTGAAGATGAGTATGGATTCTATGATGAGGAGAACGAATACTATGATCCGGTGTATGAGGATGAGTATGGAGATGAATATCTTGATGAAGATTATTATGATCAGTATCAGTATGATGGAAGACAACCTTATGGTTATTATGATGATGATAGAATGGACTACGGTTACAGGCACCAGAGAATCGATGAATTTGGATACCCTGTTGATGGTATGGAATACTATGATGAAATGGGTTATGCGATGGAAGATGAATTTGGCTACCTTGGTAATGATGTGGAATATTATGACTATGGATACTATCCAGAACAGTTTGACTATTATGGTGATCAGCAAAACTATTATAGTCACTATGATGGTGTTTCAGATGCCTACATGATGTATCCAGGTTATCAAAATGCATACAATCAAAACCAGTACATGTACAGCGGAGAAACCGCTGCGGTTTACATTGACCCTCAGATGGCTGTTAACCAGCCATTTATGTACACGGTGGAGGACGTCATGGAACCAACAGAACCCTCAGAAATGTATGGTAATGAATATGTTCAAATACCAACCGAAGGAATATTGACTGAAGATTCATTCAGATTTCCAAGACCACAAGTAAAACTGTTTGGAAAAGAAAAACTTGAAATTTCAAGTCCAGTTTTTCAGATTCCCAGGAGTGATCTTGAGATGATTCCAGACCAATTTGAACACCAGCCACTTGTTTCACCTATGAGCTTTCCTCTATATATTCCACAGCAACCGGAAGCTGTACAAAGGTCATTATCTCCCATCCCTATATTAATTCAACAAGGACCAGCACCAATTATACCGCTTAGTAGTCCCATTTTAACCCGATCACCCCAAATACCATCCTCGCCTGTTCTTCAAGCAAGACCTTTTTCGTATCCAATGCCAGTGTCACCTGTCCTAAGTAGACATTCTTTTGGACCTGTTGGACCCATACCACTCTCAACACCAGCATCTCCAGTTCTGTCCGCGAGGAGATTCGATCCAACTATGGGTGATCCAGTCTCTCCCCATTTAGTCTATCCAGATCCCATGTTTCAGAGACTTGATTTTCCACACGAACATGTCCAACCAATAACAATGAGACAATTTAATCATCTCCCATCACCACAGCTCTCCTTAAGACAAAGCAATTTTTCAACTCGAAGCAGCCCTATACCTCGCCAAAGATCTGATATGTATGAGGAAATGAGTCCGAGGTTCTCACAAAGGCAGTCTAGAATGTTTGGCCCACCATCATACAATAATAATGCACAAAGGCAGTTCTCTCCTATTCAAAGGAGAAAATTTAGCCCCCCTTCTTCTCCACAACCATCCAGAAGAGCACCATCACCATTAGCTTCTTTAAGGGGAAAATCTCCAACCCCACAGAGAAAGCCATTTGGTTCTAGAGCACCATCCCCTCTTGTTAATGGAAGAGAGAGTCCTCTAATGTCTCCACGAGGCTCAATGAGAAGAAGAAGTCCTCCTTCTTCACCTAGAGCAACCCTGAGGCAAAGTGCTAGTCCTACCCCTCCAATAAAATCTCGTTTCAGGCCAATTGGTAGAAGCAATCAGGAGTCTTTCATGTCATCAAGATCTATGAGGAAAAGCTCTCTTTCACCACAACCATCATTACGGAGGAGGAGCCCTCCACTGTCTCCAACAGTAGGCCAACAATCACCAGAGGAGCACTCTCCATACCCACGCCGCAGAGCCACATCTCCCATCCAAAGACCCCTGTCTCCAAGACCAATATCTCCTTTTGCTTCTAGACCTCAGAGACCTCTTTCACCATCACCATCAGTGTTTTCTGGCAGAATTCAACATGACCCACAACATCTGCCTACTCGTTCATCCACACGTAGATTCAGAGGATTTGGTGGGAACAAAGTGCCAATGGGAACAGTTAAGCCATCTCCTGTCAATCCAATTTTTCAAAGAAAAGGTCATCATGGTACTCCTCAAATGCAAAATGTCGCTCCATTCAGATCTTCCATCCATAATGCATCCATGGGTTCAGGAGCTTTGAATCAAAGTGTTAGATCCTCCCCCATCATATTGGCAAGACAAGGTTCCAGACCAGCAGGGTTTCAAGACTCAAAGAGATTCTTTCTACCTGGAACACCAAATCCACAAAGAGGTTTTCATAGACCTGTTGGGAGAGGGCGTCCTGTTGTGAGAGTACCAATAAGTCCTGTTCCTCTCAGGCAATCAATAAGAGGCCAGAGCCATCCTCTTGTAATGAATGCTCAACCACCTTTTCCTCAACAGGTTCTAGTAAAACAGCCTGGAGTACCTTCACCACAACTCTCTGTGAGACATTTTCCAACCCCATGCCCATCACCTCAATTTTCAATGAGAGCTGGTTCACCAATGTCTGTACGATCACCATCGCCGATCCACTCATCCGCTATACAGAGAAATGCTCTGCATAATGAATTAATCAATCGTGCCTCACTCAGATCACAATTTCCATCGAGTATCACTCTTCAGCCTCAAGTAATAACTGAATTTGCCCAGACAGTTCAACGAGGGTCATCTCCTCTACTAACAAATGCTTTACAGAACCCAAATCTTGCTGCTGCTTCATTCAGTTCACCTCTTCCCAGGTTTAAATCCCCAATGTCGCAGATCAACCAAAATTTATCTCAGAGCTCTTCTTCAGCCTTAACAAATGCATTGCAAAATCCACTTCTCCGTAATGCCACTTACCGCTCACCTCTACAAATGTCTGCATCTCCTCATTCTATAGTGGCACCTCAAGAGGTTCAGGTGACCAATCCGATTTCTTCTCCAATGCTCTCTAATGCATTGCAAAACCCTTATCTACGTAATGCGTCTCTCACTTCCCCACTGCAAAGAAGCACATCTCCTTATTCTTCTGCAGCTGCTCAGCAGGAACCGCAAAACATTTTGCAGCCATCTTCAGCGCTAACCAATGCACTAAAAAATCCTCAGTTACGCAGTGCCTCATACATCTCTCCTCTTCAGCGGAATACATCATTATATGCTCCAGTGATGTCACAACCCGAACAGCAAGCATCAGTATTATCAAATGCACTTAAGAATCCTAACTTAAGAAATGCATCCTATTCCTCTCCTTTACAGAGAAATCCTACTCCTTTCCAGCAAGCACAGGATTATTCCTCCCCTTTGTCAAATGCATTAAAGAATCCAAGCCTTCAAGGTGCCTCCTTTCGACTACCTGATACATCAATAATATCTAGGAATTTCGGAGGCCAAAAAGAGGAGACTACTACATCTGTTCTGTCAAATGCTTTGCAAAACCCTAATCTCCGGAAAGCAACTTACAGGCTCCCAGATGGTACAATAATATCAAGAAATGAGCCAGCACAACCAGCTCCATCTTCTTCACTGTTATCCAATGCTCTTCAGAATCCTAACATTCGAAAAGCAAGTTACAGGCTTCCCGATGGAACACTTGTATCCACTAGCACTGATGAAGCCGCGGACACAACAAATTCCTCACCATACCTGGGAAGTGCTCTGCAGAATATTAACCTACGTAAAGCATCTTATAAACTACCTGATGGCTCTCTCTTTTCTCGAAACCAACCAGCAGAACAGTCATCCTCTCCATGTCTTTCAAGTGCTCTTCTAAATTCAAACATTCGTAAAGCTTCCTACAGACTTCCTGATGGAACCCTTTTGACTAAGAGCTCTGAACAAGAACCAGAGAAATCAATTTCATCTAATTTGTCAAGTGCACTACAAAATGTTGGTAAGGCCAACTATCGCTTACCTAGTACCTCTAGTCTGTTTAGAAATCCAAAACAAGTGCAAGCTCCCCCTTCAATGCTGTCCAGTGCCCTTCAGAACCAAAACCTTCGTAAAGCATCTTACAGATTGCCTGATGGATCAATCGTGATAAGAGGTCAACCAGCTCAAAGTGAATCTCCCACATCACCCTTTCTGGGAAATGCCTTGACGAACATTAACTTACGCAAAGCATCCTACAAGTTGCCGTCAACACTGGGATGTTCTCCAGAGGACCCAAGGTACGCAGTAGTGACCCCTCAGATTCAGGGCCAGTCTGGTGAACACTGGGCTCAGAATCAAATACTAGATCTTCATGAGCCAGATGATGTCTGGTCTTCAGAAAGAGTCCTCCCTCATCATACTGTTCAGAACCTCACAAAATGGTCCATGTATAGGGATGAAGAACTGGAGAATTTTGTCATCCCTGTGTTTCCTGGCCAAGAGACAGATAGCACAGAACCTGCATGGCTACCAGATAGAGAAGGTGAACCTCAAGGGAACTGGTATGACAAGGTAACATAATAGTTGCTGTATATAAGAAACCGTTGCTTAGTTTTTTTGTTGCTATCTAGACTTTACCTGTGAAATTGTTGTACACTAGAAATAAATACACTAGAAAAATATCTGTGCCATTAAAATGATGCTATAGTATGACTGATTTGAAGCTTCAGATTAAATGATTAGATTAGAAAGATTGAAATTTAGGTTTAAAACTATGGGTCAAAAATAATGCCAGGCAATGTCAAATATCAAACGAATATATTATGACTTGTTTATTTAGCGGATATTAGGTAATATAGACTATGGATGACTGCATGGATAGATGGATGGATATTGTTTTATATAAATAATCAACATAAAATATAAATGACTGGGCAAACTCAAAACAAGAACAATAGCCACAATGCACCAAAATATACCTGCCACGCCAGCTATATTACAACAGCATACAGGTATCATTTCAACAGACCTTAGTCAGAGTAGCAGCATATTACATTTTTTGACAGGAATGAAAACAAAGCTGTGAGAGACAGAAATACAGTGTGTTCAATTGATTGTGCATGCCAGTTGCTGATGAAATATCTTACAAAAAATCTTTCAGTAGAAAAAAACTCAATAAATCCATGCATGCCCTTGCAAAGACTATGAAACTTGTAAGCCTGTACCTCACAGCTTTATTTTAATCTTTGTAAAATTCAATATGACATCGACCCTGACTAATGTCTGTAAGGAAATATAGTGTGAAATATTGGCCTTATATCATGATTGGTTTACACATTGTTTACACAATATTTTTCTTTTACTGGAATTCTTTTTAGATGTACTCAATTCGAAGTCTGCCCACAATGCTGTACCGTGAACGTGCAGAGGAGGATGGCTTTGAGGACATGACACAGCTTGAGTATGAAATTACTGAATACGATGAATGCTATTTAACTATACACAAACACACACACACACACACACACACACACACACACACACACACAGTATATATGATAACTGAAATTTTGTGCTCAAATTTAAAAGAAAATGCTTTCGTAAAGAATAAATCTCTTTCCAGGGAGCTGCACGAAGGTGCTGTGTTACTGAATTTGAAGAAAAGGTTTGAAAGCAATTTGATATATGTAAGTAAATTGCAAAGTCCACTGCATATTTGCATATCTTAGTTATAAAGAAACACATCAATTTACTACTGTTTCTTTAGAACTAAAAAGTATGTATTTTAAAACCACTGGTTAAATAAAATTAAAATGCTATTATACTATAAAATGTTCATTGCTAAAAATTTTGTGAACTTTAAAATGAATACAATTCTAATTAAATTCTAATTAAATTAATTTAATGAACTGTTATCAAAAACAGATTATGAACAAATAATTTTGTTTTCCTCCAAGACTTACATTGGAAGCATCCTGGTGTCTGTTAACCCATACAAGATGTTCAACATCTATGGAACAGACATGGTTCTGCAACACAAAGGACATGCGCTTGGAGAGAATCCTCCGTAAGTTCATTCATTCACAATATTAATTGAACAAATTAATTCATTTATATTTTTTGCACCACTTTTATAAAATGAAATTTCTTATCAACGCAAGGCTAATTCCTTATATTGTACTTTTTTTCTTTAATGTTTTGTGCTTCTCCATTGTGTCTGCAGACATCTATTTGCTATTGCAAATGCCTCATACACAAAAATGATGGATGCCAAAGAAAACCAGTGCATTATTATCAGGTAGGATTTAGGTACACATTTGATTACCTCACGGAATGTAAGTTTACACTGTTCAACTAACCTAACTCATAATAATGTGGTATGGAAAGATCAAATAAAGGAATTGTCAGAATTCAAATAGCTGATCTTTGTCCTGTCACCTCAAGTAGTCTTTTACACTGATGGAACCATCAGTGTCAGTTCTACTTGACACAACTCATCGCCTGGAACACTTTAAACCTAGCTCTGACGGAGATAGCTGTAAGGAAAGACTACTGATGTCTAGGCCATGATTGCACCAGCAGATCATGTCTCTGTGAAATGCACCCATGGCTGTTCAGAGTAGCTGGAACGACAGTCAAACTCAAGCATTCGATTTCACCTCTGTCTGATGATCAGACACCTAGCTCATTACTTAAGTGCATAGCAAAAGACAAGGAAATTGGTTCCTCACGTGCCAATTTAAAGTGCAATTAAGTAGTTAAACTGGTAATTTAGGGGGTTACAGTCATCATGTGGTTTAAATGTGCTTATTGCCTTTCAGTGGGGAGAGTGGCTCTGGTAAAACAGAGACCACAAAGCTAGTTCTCCGGTACTTAGCCGCAATACATCACAAACAGAACATCACACAGCAGGTATGAGTTAAGCTTAAAAACGTATTTAAAACTATTAAAACTGTTTATATACAATTTATAACTCATCTTTTTCTTCTATTTTACTTTTATGCAACAATACAGATTGAGGTATTGTACTTCTGTATGGCCTTCTGTTGTTTGTACCCTATATGTCGCATGGGTTGTTGCACTTTGTGACATGCAACATGTGCAAATGTTATAGAGTATTAAAAAAGGATTAAAAATGTAACAGAAGTGATGAATCATTTATAGAAATTTAAGTAAAAGGACAACACAACAGCAAAAAGTGTGTTGTCCATATTGTTCAAGTGATCATATGCACATTTTGCTATATAGAAACAGTAAATATTAAGACTTGTCAAAGATTGTATCTTTTAAAAAGTGTATTTTGTCTTATTGCACTAGCAGATTTTTTGACGTTATAAACAAGCTCAAAATATCCCCAGAATGCAGTAATACAATATACACTCACATTCAAGATATAATCTTGGAACGCATGTCTCATGCAGTGTTGCTCTTTTAAGTAAATGTATCTCGTTTTAAGTATTTTAGATAGTTTAACAGGAATTAACAGGATAGTACTTTGCAGTGTTGTACAAATTACAGCAGTTTATTGCTACATCCTTCACACAGTTATGTATTTATGGCTTACAGATTCTTGAAGCAACTCCTCTTTTAGAGTCTTTTGGAAATGCCAAAACTGTACGGAACGATAACTCCAGTCGATTTGGGAAATACATGGAAATATTTATGGAAGAGTAAGTTCATCAATATCAAGTCTCTTTACTGTGTTATGGATACACCTAAGAGGAAGCACTTCTTTGGAGTGCCTTTACAGCTGAAAGAGGATAACAGGGTCAAGATTAACATGAGGCCAGTTAAAATGCCTGTATGTTGGTGTACATGGGTTAAGTTGCAAATTACATATTAGCCTAATGCTTGTCTGATTTTCCTGCTTCAAACAGAGGGGTAATCAGCGGTGCCATAACCTCACAGTATCTACTTGAAAAGTCCAGGATTGTGTTTCAGGTATTCTTCATAATGCTCTTATGGACATTTAAAAGTTCATCATTCAATAAACCAATGGACCTTTTTCACATTTCCGGGTTTCTCAGAAGCGGAAGTCGTCATAGTTGGGCTAACTTGAATAGCAGTGAATGGAAGAGTACCACAAATATATTTTTTGAATTCCCATTTGCTCAAATAGCAAAAGAAAAACTCCACGATAGTGTTTTCATGAATTTCAATAAAAGGAAAAAAATTGAGAGAGACTGATAACGGCTTTCAGAAGAGAGAACGATGTCAAATTTACTGTCCCTCCCATAGACGCTGCGTTAGAAACACCTTCGCATTAGCCTTAACTGTTTTTTTTTTTGTAATTTGATGCAAAGGTGATATAATACAAAGAATAGTGTTATAAATGTAGATACATTAAAAAACAAAATACAAATATGAAAAACATTCGAGGATTTACGATGCTGATGACCGTTAAACGCGTCATCACAGTCTTGTGAAAAGGGTCCATTCGTTGCAGAAATCTGAAATGTTAATTTCATAATGTTAATTTTTATCTCTTAGGCCAAAGATGAAAGAAACTATCACATTTTTTATGAGATGCTTGCTGGCCTTCCTTCACAGCAGAAACAGTCTTTATACCTTCAAGACGCAGAGACGTATTATTACCTCAATCAAGTGAGGCCAGATCATTATAGCAATAAAAGCCTCAAAAATTCAAAAGCGCTGCTGTTTGACTGCTTTTCTCTTTCATGGACACTCTTTTTGGTTGCAAGGGTGGAGACTGTGAGATTGTTGGCAAAAATGATGGGGAGGACTTCCGCAGGCTCCTCAGCGCCATGGAAATACTTCACTTCAGTGCCGAAGACCAGAGCGGTATCTTCAGGATCCTGTCTTCCATCCTCCACTTAGGAAATGTCTTCTTCGAGAGATATGAGGTACAATGAATCTCAATCTAATGCATCCTGCTTACTTGGATTTCCCTCATGTTGCTGTGTTATGATGCTCTTTTTCAGTGGTGTCATGAATTAAGTAGATTTTTTTTTACTCCATATCTTGGCAGACTGAATCTCAGGAAGTGGCATCAGTTGTGAGCGCTCAGGAGATCCGAGTGGTGGCTGAAATTCTACAGATTTCCCCAGAGGGTCTACAGAAGTCCATTACTTTCAAAGTCACGGTAAGAAAAAACCTGCTTGGTAATGGATTCAATACTAAACAAAACATTATCCCCCGTTACATAACACAGATGTTAGTTTCTATTTTTGGATATGCTTTATACCTAATTGTAATTTCTGCATGATATCCATTCATCCTTGTCACTAAAAAACTGATGTAAAAGTTTGAACGCTATTTGAAATACTGTATGTAAATTGCAAAATCCAATGCATAATAATATCTCTTACGTATAAAGAAACATATGAATGTAATATACTGTATATGTTTTTTTTTTTAGAACTACAAAGTATGTATTTTGAAACCACTGGTTTAATAAAATGAAAATGCTATTATACTGTAAATATTTTATTACTAAGAATTTTATGTGAAAAAAAGAAATTACATTCTAATTAAATTAATTACATTAATGAACTGTTATCAAAAGTTGATAATAAACGTTTGTTTCATTTCAAGACTTGCAATGTCAGTAATAAAACAAAAAACAAAACAAATAAACGATCCAAAACGCACATTTAACCACTTTTACATTTATTTGCCCATGTCAAATCCATGTATCATTCGATCATTCATTTTTTGATTTAATATTGAAAGTAGAAAAATGAGAAAACGGCTCCTTTTTCATTTTTTTTTTTTTTTGGTTCATGGGTGGAAAAATGAATGAACAGCTTGAATATTCGATTTCTACATGTGGACGGTAATTAAACGCCCCTTTCTGCTGATTGGTCAGCCGAAGATCAAACCGTACCTTCATCATTTCTTCCGCAGTATCACGCAGCAGAATAATAGTCCTCCACTGCTGCAGTTGTATGGATTCTTAAGGCATTTATTGCAACTACATTTAATCTTTTTTCATCAAACAAACGGGCTAATGAATAGCTTGACACAACTCATACCGGGGCAGAGTCTAGACAGGGCTTTCTTCTGTGTAGATATAAATTCTATTCTTTTCATCAGCTGGGCATGGCAGGGTATGATATGACAGCTGTCATAGTCTACCCTGCTCACCCAGTAAGTCTGTTTGTTTGTTTAATTAATTAATTAATTAATTTGTTTCAAAATAAATATTTTAAACACTAAGACAAAAAGGAAAGAATAATAAATTGGCTTGGGTATATATAGGCCTAT